GAGAGCAAATTTTCACATTTAATTATATAATTCAAGACATTAGTAGTTATCTTAATACTAATTTTCACAACTAAACATATATTTAAACAAAACAAATCAAAATATATATTAAGGTGGTGTTTGTAAAAGCTTTTTGAAAGTGATTATGAGCTTTTTTTTGCTCATAATCTGTTTTCAGGTGTTTGTAAAATTAACTTTTGCTTTTGCTTCTCTTAAAATAATCTGTTTCAAGCTATTTTTTTAAAAGCACCCCTAGACCTGTTTTTTCTATTTAAGTTCATTTTCCGGAATATTTGCAAACACCCCAAACTTTTAGAAATAAGCACTTAAAACTGACTTAACTCACAATCACAAACTTCTGCTTTTAAATAATCATTTGCAAACACCACCTAAATATAAAAGGGCAGGAAAGAAGAGGGAAATCAAAAAGATAAAGGAAAGAAGAGGGAAATAAAAAAGAGAAAGGAAAGAAGAGGGAAATGAAAAGGTAAATGAAAAAAGAGGGGGGAGATTAAAATTTTCCACCGCTAATAGCCATAGTGGATTTCTTTTTTTTTTTTTACCAAATATTAGGAGTGCAAATTTTCACATTGAATTATATAATTCAAGATCGACATTAGTAGTTATCTTAATACTAATTTTCACTACAAAATATACATTTACAAGAACATAATAAAATTTTGATTATTTTATTATAGGAATATTATTGAAAAGAACATATTAAAATTGTTGATAATTTTATAATAGGACAATTGTTGACAATAACATATTTATAAAAAAAAATAATATAGATGATATTTATTTTATGAAAAATAGATTATAATTTATTCCAATTATTTTTCTATAAAACAAAATTATAAATGATGAGTAGAATAAATTAACTATTTATAATTTAAATAACATCTTTTTAATTTTCCTACTCTAGTTAGCACCAACATGAGTCATGAAGTATATGAAATAGTTTTGTTTTCTTTTGAATTAAAACTTGTTCGTGAATTTAGTTCTATAAAGTAAACTATATAAATCATAATATTTTTATTCTATAAAAGTGCCACTGAATTTTTATTATAAATATGTTGTAATTACTATTTTTAAAATAGTAAATTTTTTAAAAGTATATAAAAGGGATTATTTGACATTTATAGAATTTCAAACATAAAAAACAATTAAAAATATTTTACAAGGTACAGAAAGAAATAGTAAAACATTTTTTCTTTAACATTAATTTAAAATAATATTTAACTTTGATTTTTTTGTTATGTTTAATTAACAACATTTGTACATGTACCATTCATTTTTATGAATGGTATATGAAACCCGAAACCCCGAACCCTTTTGTAAATGAAAAGGGAGGGGGGAAATGAAACTTTCCCACCTCTAGTACTAATCTGGTTTTTCATATTATTTTTTCTTTTATTAAATATTGTGAGTGCAAATTTTCACATTTAATTATATAATTCAAGACATTAGTAGTTATCTTAATACTAATTTTTACAACTAAAATATATTTAAACAAAAAAATACAAAATATATATTACATATAAATAACTTATAACTAATAATAAATAAATAATACAATAAGAAAAATTATTGCCAAGAACGTCTTGAAATTATTCATTATTGTATATTGAAAATTATTGACAATAATATATTTGTAACAAAAATGTAGATGATATTTATTTTAACAAAAATAGACATGATAAAATTGTTGATTACTTTATTATATGACAATTATTGACAAGAACATATTAAAATTATTGATTATTTAATTATAGGATAATTGTTGACAAGAACATATAGATAAAAAATAATATAGATAAAGTTTATTTTAAGAAAAATAAATTATAACTTATTTCAATTAATTTTCCTACTTTAAAATAAAACTATAGTTCATGAGTACAATCTGAAATAATTTATGGTCCCGAATTAGTTTAATACAGATGTGTTATATTAAGTGTTATGACACTTGTATAAACATGCAGCGGAAATATAAAAACAATACTCAGATTTAAAAATGTTCACAAGTAAAAACTTGTGAACTTATCCTTTACAGGACGGAAAAATTATATTAAAACAGTATTCCAAGAATACAAAGAGAAGATGTACGAAAACTTCTTCCTTATGAATGAATCACTAACATGATCATTCTTACATTCGAATCTAGAAACAAAAAGATAAAAACTAAAAACTCTAGATTTCAAAGAATGTACTCGTGAGGAGTACGTAAAGAACTTCTTTCTTATGAATGAATCACTATCTTGATCATTCTTACAACCAAGTCTAGAAACATAAAAACTATATACTAATAGATCTAGACTACAAAGAAAGTTCTCATGAGGAGTACAAACGACCGATTCTAAAACCACTCTAAAACACTCATGTATGCTTTTCAGCTCTCGGTTTTTGTTTCTTAGAATCGAATAATTTCCTTGAGTCTTGAAGTCGGTATTTATAGACATTCCAAGCTTCCACTCCTCAGCCCATGATCTGCAAGAAAACCAACTACAAGAGCACTCAAGAACATGGGTTAGTGGGTTAGTTTAGTAGTTACGATAATATCCACAATTTAACCCACTAAGCACTACTTAGCCCACTAAGTATTATACTTAGCCCACTAAGCACTATACTTAACCCACTAAGCACTACTTATTCCATAACTAAAATTTAGTTAGAAAATAAGAGAGTTAAAAACAAAATGTGGAAAAAATCCACGTGTTTCACAATCAAAATATTATATTGTAATTTTCTTTTAATACTTGGTTTAATAGTATTTTAAGGGCATATATTATTGACAAAAACATATTAATTGAATTGACTATTTATAGTTAAATTTTAATATATTTTTAATTAAATTTTATTCTTAAATAAATAAAATATAATTCATTAAAATCGTAAGAATAATCTATTATTCGTAGGATTTGAATCAGTTAAGATTAAACTATTTCAATTCATAAGTTTTATTGCAAGATTTGAATTGATTAAGCTCTACTATTGCAATGGCGTATTAATCAAATTAACTATTTATAGTTTAAGTAATATCTTTTCAATTGAATTTTATTATGAAAAATAAAAAAAATAATTTGTAAAATCATAAGAATTGAATTGTAGATCGTAAATTTTAATCATTTCTTTTACATATACATTTTATTCAAATATTTAAAACGAATCATAAGATTTAAATTGATTTAGTTCAAGTCTTTTAAAAAAAATTCGTTAATTTTTTTTAAATTATATTATATTTGTCAATAATTTAATTTAAATTATTTAATAACAATGAATATGCTAATTAATAATATATTCAACATTATTTATTATAATTATTTTACACTTTTCGTTTATGTTATATACAGGTCTTGCTAGTAATTAATCAAAGATTTGCTTGACTTAGTGGTTAGGATTACAGCACAATTTTCAGCAATCCGAGTTCGAGCTTCAATTATAACGGTTTTCGAATTAAAAATTAAAAATTTGGTTTCAGCCTGAATCTGGACCGAAGTCAGAACCCGCTTCGGACCTGACCCTCCTCCCGCGGGTTCGGCCCTCCTAAAACTCAGACCCAAACAACCATTTTAATTGAGAGGATAATCAATTAAAATTAAACTTAAATTAATAAATTTGAAAAAATAAAAATGAAATAGGAATTTACTTATATTTTAATAAAGTTTTTCTTTCTTAATTAAATTATTTAATAATGGGTACAATTGATTTTATTAAATATTTCTTGTTTGGGGGTAAATCAGACTATTCCATATTAGGCTATTTTATTTTCATGTAATAAATAATTTTAGGTGAAAGTGAAAAATGAGTAATTGCTCAAATTATTATTTTATTCATTTTCCTAGGAAACTCCAATTCACTTTTTGATTGAACGGTTCAGATATAATCTATATAAAATGAATGGTAATTTAGGGGGTATCGAACCTCAGATAGGATTTGAGGTATCGGATACTAAAAAGGCCCAAGAGAGTATACCTTAGATGTTATAATTAAGTATTTGTAGTTAAATATAGGGACCACAGGTTTGTTAAATAGTTAATGTAACATTATGAAATTCCTTAGTAATCACCAGTTAAATATAGGGACCACAATTATCTCAGTTGGTTTGGATCATTACTTTTGAGATGTATCCATATTTTAGATTCAATTTAACATAAATAGGTTTTATTATGTTCTTGTCAGTTGTCATATCAAAGATAAATTTAAAAAATAAAATCATATTTATTTGTATTTTAGTGATTTTTTTTTTTATTTTTTTTATGTACAATTTTAAAATATAAAAATAAATTAAAGAATTTGTTTCTAAAAATGTGGAATCTAATTTGAAAAGCTTAAAAGCCTTGGGCAATATTTTGCACCGCATAAGTTATGGCCAACTCCTAAGATAAGGTCAAATTAAAATAAAAAAAATTATTTATATTTGTGTAATTACAACCACTCCTCAACTATGAATCTTCTTACACGTTCATCCATGTAATGTCAAATTCGGTGAAATCTTCTAAATAATGTTGAATATTTTTCAATTTGTACTCGTTTTACCTAATTTCATCTCCACATTTTGAAACAAGACGATCATAAGACGTGTTTCTTGACCTGTAAATATTAGATTGTGGTGCACCAGAAACTGTATTATTACACAAAACAAGTACAAACTAGAGAACATTTTCCGAAATTTAGAATATTCTATTAAATTTGACATAATAAAAATAAATGTGTGAAGAAGATTCATTAATAAATGGTGGTTGCAATTATCCAAACATAATGAGTTGTTTCTCTCCGTAGTTTGACAATGATAAAATTCGTATTGTAATTAAAATTCATTATTGTAATTACCCAAACATTCTTGCAACGAAAAGCCGTCAAGTTAGGATTGGTGTTTTTGCTACAATTAAGCTTGATTATGAAGATTGGAAGAATGTGACTTGTGTCGAGACAAAAGAATATTATTTTAATGCCATACCTTTTCCACTAAAGCATTACAATTCACAACTGTTGTATAGCAACACAGTTCGTGAAATTCACTTGAAGGACGACACCTCATAATAAATACATGTCAACAATCAACAAATTCGAGACAAACCCATCTTACTTAGCTGGAAAAAGAGATCAAGAAACAAAATTTTTACTTCATTAAGGCTTTTAATTGGACTTCATTGTTGCCATTTATGGAATTGTCCGATTTCTAAGGTTAGTTCTCCCATCAAATTTGGGTTAATTAAATTTACTTCTGGGTTTTTCGAGTTTTAATTTGATTGATGAGGTTAGTTATTTGATTGGCTGGAATTTTCGTAGTTCCTTGTTGAATTAATTCACGCCCAAGTAAATTTTGAGATCTCTTTGTTGTTTCACGATTCTTTCCGGCCCTTTTAGACTCATTGGATATAATTTTCTCTCTCTCTAGATGTTAGGTTAATTATGAGCTAGAGTTTCCAATTCCAAATATTTTTCTTTTAAATAAATAAAATAAATAAATTTAGCTTTGCTTCTACTGCTGGTCTGGTGCCTTAAATGTAAAGAAACGGTATATATAATGTATCTATCTACTAATGTTTAGTGCTATATTTAGGATTTAATTAGCGTGCTTTGATTTGATGATCAGCCTTGTACGAAATTTCGAAACTCGTTGTATGATGATAATGATAAATCTCGATGATGTTGTGTACGCTTCATTTGTTGTAGTAGTAGTCGATTCGATCGACGGATGGGATTCCGTGCGTCGCTTTTGGTGTTTACGGCGTTTCTCCCTTTAATTCTGGGGGAAATATACGAAGAGGCAAGGCTTGTTGTTGACACAAGTAAAACAGTTGCCGAAACGGATGCTAATTACATTTGTGCCACCATTGACTGGTGGCCTCAAGATAAGTGTAATTACGATACATGCCCCTGGGGTTCTTCATCTGCCGTTAATCTGGTAATAATAAATTTCATTATCGGGAACAGTTATTTTGCTAACTGTTAAGATTTATATGTGGGTATTTTATTTTGTCAGGATCTATCGCACCCGTTTCTAGGCAATGCTATTCAAGGTTCGTAGTTGCCGTTTTTAGTGATATTTATTCTTTGCATTTTGATATACAGTATCTTGTATGTATATATAATGGTCTCGTTTCACAGCTTTCAAGAATCTGAGAGTTCGAGTAGGTGGTTCGTTGCAAGACCAAGTAATGTACGGTGTGGGAAATTCATCGTCACCTTGCCACCCGTTTAAAAAGGAAAAGGGTGGCTTGTTTGGATTTTCAAAGGGATGTTTGCATATGGATAGGTGGGATCAGCTCCATAGCTTTTTCACGAAAACAGGGTAATTAATCCGCTCTCTTTAAATTATATGCACATTTAATTTGCAGGAGTTTGCCCCTCGTTCAGTACCGAAATGCTGAAAGAAGCCGCTGTTTTGAGGGTTTTAGACCTTAAGAAATTATGCCGTTGTTACAACTCTGTACCATGTCTAAATCTAATGAATGTAGGAGTCCATAGTTAGTAAATCTGGCATCTGCCATGTAGCACGGACACGGAAACGACGATATGGGGAAGCGGATACGGGGAAACGGGATGTCCCGAAAATGAGGATACTGGACTTGGGGGAAACGTGTAAATATTAAAAATATAGGGGTATTTTTATAAATATACTACATAAACATATATAAGTTTTTAGTTATATATAAATTCTTTTTATATATTTTTATACAAACATATTCAAAATAAGTTTTACTATCAACTATCAATTTGCAGTTGATCATTAAATCATGTTGTAACTAATTAGGGAAAAAAATTGAAAATTTGCTATTCAAACATGTTTCTAACTTTGTAGAAACTGCAAAAATGGCCCATAAGGTGTCCCGCAGGTGTCCTCGAGTTTCCGACACGAAACGCGGAAACGTTTAGAAGCTGAAGTTTCCGTGCTGCATGGGGCAACTGCAATAACCACGATTGGGTAGATATGTGGCGTTTGTTATATAATTTTTGCGAACCCATTTTTTCAAGCTTCTAATCTTCTCCCCCGCCAATTCACTGTTTTATGATTGCGCAAATATATGGATTTTCTTGTTTCACCATTAAAAAAAAATCGGTGAAAAAAGTAGCATCGGCTTGGAATACGGTATTGTTAGTAGAACTAACGTATTGAATTGCTGCAGAGTGATATTAACATTTGGACTGAATGCTCTTCACGGAAGGCACCATATCGAAAGAGGTGTTTGGGGAGGAGATTGGGATCGCCATAATGCTTACGATTTCATCAACTACACTTTATCAAAGGGATACCACGTCGACTCCTGGGAATTTGGTATATATTAATATAATATATAACTATTTATTTACTTCACTGTTTTGTCGAAGGATTGATTAAATCTGTTATTGCTTTTTTTTGGTGGGCAGGTAATGAATTATCGGGCAAGGGAGTTGGTGCTAGCGTTGGTCCCGAACAATATGGAAAAGATACAATACGTCTGAATACAATGATTGATGAATTGTACTCAAAATCGAATAATATGAAGCAGCCAATTAGACCCAGTCTCGTGGCGCCTGGAGGGTTTTACGACAAGGTTTGGTTTGATAAGCTGCTTCAATCGTCGGGCCCACGTGTACTCAATGTTATGTCGCATCACATGTACAGTCTCGGTCCAGGTCTGTTCTTGCTTCTTAATTATTTAATTAATGTAGAGACTAGAATATTAAATTTAACTATTTGTTAATATAACTATGAACTTGAACTCGTTTATATATTTGTTAGTATTATAGCAAGATGTAACAAATGTTTGCCTTGCCTATTTTTATTTTTGTTAATCGATAAATATTCATGCAAGTGTTTGATATTTTGTCATCAAGAACTGCAATATTAGTTCCGTTTAAATCTTAGTAACTCAGAGCATATTCATGCAAGTGTTTGATTATTCCATAATTTTTATCCCCGTCTCTTCTGATACTTTCAAAACTACCGAAATGCTTGCATTTTCGTAAAGATAAATTAACTTCTTTTTTTTTTTTTGCCTTTTGAATTCAGTTCTCAGTTAGTTTATAGATCGTTGTCATATGCTAATAATTGATGCAAATATCCTTCATTGTGGACAACAAATATAATACAGTAGAACCTCGATAAATTAATAACCTCGATTAAATACTAGTTTCTCTCAGTCCCGACTTGGTGAAAATGTGTTAAATTATTAACTCGATAATTTAATAATTCGCTAACTTAATAGAATTCCCCTAGTCCCGAATGCATAAATTTATAGAGGTTTAACTGTATAATAGTTATAGTTATCATGTTACAGGAAATGACGGCAATATAATAAAGAAAATATTGAATCCGGATCACTTGAATAAGGCATCGTTCGTATTCGGCAATCTTTCTTCAACCATTCAAGAAAACGGGCCTTGGGCTTCTGCGTGGGTCGGTGAATCTGGAGGAGCCTACAACAGTGGGGCTAGGGACATATCGAACACATTCGTTAACACCTTTTGGTATTTTTATTTTTTATTTCTTTTCTAAACAGCTAACATTCATTTAAGATAATTTATTTTATTTATTAAATTTATTTCCGGTGTGACTAAAATTCATTTAATGTAGGTATCTTGATCAACTTGGAATGGCAGCTAAGTACAATACCAAAGTATATTGCAGGCAGTCGTTGATTGGTGGATTCTATGGCCTCCTAAACAAGACTACATACATTCCCAACCCTGATTATTACAGGTTTAACCCATAAATTATGACCGACCTTGTGTTAATTAATTAATTAATATAAATGTCTGACTTGCTAGTTTTTTTTCTTCTTTTTTTTGGCTATTTACAGTGCACTTCTCTGGAATCGACTTATGGGAAAAGGAGTACTCGATGTTAACATCACAGCATCACAATATTTGCGCTCGTACGCACATTGTGCAAAACAGAGAGTAAGAATTAATTAATTTTCAACATAGAATTGAATGGGGTGTGTAAAGAGAAAATAAGGGAAAATTACAGTTTTCATCCCTCAAGTTTGTACTGATTTCACATTTGGTCCCCCCATGTTCACAAAAAACACATTTGGTCCCTCGTGACTAAAAGTGTTGAATTTTCGAAAAATGAGGGACCAAATGTGTTTTCTGTGAACATGAGGGACCGAATGTGATGTCTATGCAAACTTGAGGGATGAAAAACCGTATTTTACCCCAAATAGTAAACATCTATAAAATGAACAAATGGGGTTTTATGTTGTTTGCCACCACCCTCTTCTATTGCCATTATTAGTTAGTATGTAATTTTCTCTTTGATTTGGTTTTTGCGAAATTGACTGAAATATCTAATCTATGTTGTTTCAGGTTGGCGTAACCGTAGTTGTGATAAATTTAAGCAATCAAACAATGTACAATGTTGACGTTCAATCCAGTAACTATGCCAAATTACCCTCGAAAAATCAAACGGGCACCAATAATAAGAGATCTTTCATTCATGGACTTAAGGAATCAGTGTCGTGGATCGGAAACAAAGCTTCGGATGAGAAAGTATACAGAGAAGAGTATCACTTAACTCCCGAGGGCGGCAATCTTCAAAGCAAAATCATGTTCTTGAATGGAAAGCCGTTGCAGCTAACTGAATTGGGAGATATTCCAAGTTTGCTTCCAGCCGTTAACGAGGTTAACTCTCCGTTAAGTGTTTCTCCTTATTCCGTCAAATTTGTAGTATATCCCAACTTCATTAATCAGGGCTGTATATAAACTTTGTATAGTCATAAGCTAAGCTGTAAAAATACATAGAATGCTGATTTTATTTATTTATTTATTTGTTCTACAGTATGTGTTTTTGTGTATCATAAGAAATCGATTTTCAGGAAACGAGAATAATGCGAATACCACATCATGGATGATATGTTGATATTTTTGGTATTCCTAAACGAAGCTGTTTGCTTTGTTGAAACTTTTGTTTTTGGAAAATTATCGGAGAAGAAAGGTAAGGCGACGGACGACGGTGTTTGTTGTGTTAATATAGATTTGGGAGAAATGTAAACGCAATATTTTCTTAGGCGAATCGAGATCATCACAAACGGCCTTTGCATTGCATTTTAAAGGGATAATTACAGTTTTCGTCCCCTATACTTGTCACCTAAAATGATTTTAGTCCTCAAACTTTCGCCGTCACGAATTTAGTCCACAAACTTGCCAATTTTTTAAACTTTCGGTTCGACCGTCAAGTTTGTCGGTTAACTTGGACGGAATTTTTAGATGTGGCAGTTATATCGAGCTAGAACACACTCCCAATCCATTTGGCAGTCTAAACATGAGGTGGATTGACACCTCATTCTCTCCCCCTATTTTTATCCCCAAATCCCTAATTCCCCAAGTCCAATTCTCGAATTGAACATAAGGAGAATCACAAGAGCTGCTCTTGTTCCAATCGTGCTTGTATGTACGAACATTGTCTTTACTACCAAAGTACTAGTGCACCGAAAGACCACAAGCTGATCACATATCTAAGGAGCAGCAACACTTCTTACCAAACTGTGAAAGAGCTCGTACAAGTTATGAAAAGTAAACCCTATCTCCAATGATTCCTTATGAACGTTCTAATTCCACACGTTTTGTTGAGCGATTGTGATGTTCCAAATCCGCGAAGGTTCCCAAACTGTGAAATTATGATTGGGTGATTCTGGTGTTGCATTATATCACCTCAAATGGAAGATTTGAAAAGGAATTTAGGGACATGATTTACATTCATAAGAAATTATATGGAATTAAGGATTTTATGATAGATATAGGAGGAGAGAATAAGGGTGTCACTCCACCTCATAATTAGACTGCTAAATGGACTGATTCTTACTGCCACATGTGCAATTCCGTCCAAGTTAACTGCGAACTTGACGGCCGAACGAAAAGTGTCAAAAAATGGTAACTTTGAGGACTAAGATCATAGTGGTAAAAGTGTAAGAACTAAAATTATTTTAGGTGACAAGTGTAGGGACGAAAACTGTAATTATCACGCATTTTAAATGATGAACATTAGGCTTTATTACAAGGAGGGCACAAAGCACGCTTTTAAATGTAATTTGTATGGTTTTTTTTCCCTCTTTTAAAAAAAGGAGGATAGTTACTGATTCCCCAATTCCCCTCCTGGTGTCTCGAACCCTTGACCAAATGGTCCTATGTGCAAGGTGCTTGCCAACATGCTACATTATCTTGACTAATTTACAGGCTTGTTAGAAGTCGCTAGTTACACTATAATGCTACACATTTTCTTGTTTCTTCTTGGGTGCGTAAGGTCAGTGGCGAAACCATAAATTCATCCCTAGGGGGCCCTGAATATTCATAAACAATTTTAAATAAAAAAATAATGTAAATAAATTAATAACAACAATGGTTGTTTCAAGAGTGGCGAGCTTAGGATATTGTTACATGATGAGATTAAATATTCGTGGCCTCGGGGGAAGTGCCATCGAAAAAAAACTAGGATTTTTTTCTTTTTTTTTTGACAAAACTAGAACTTTTTTTTTGCATTAATTTGGATTTTGGATAAACTAAATAATAAAAATTTGATGGGACTTAATAAATAGGTGTAATATAGTGAAAAAATATTCAACTTAGGGTGGGTTTGATTCCATTCTTGACCAAGGGTGCACTCGCCCCTCGTTCCAAGTCACTATTCATAACTTTCTTATCATGTTTGTTAGACTCGTTTATTATTTTTCTTTGTTTTCTTGAAATATAAATATTTGATTTTTATTTTGTATATAAAATTAATTAATTATTTAAAAAAATAGAAGCACAATACAAAGACAATAAGTTATATATAAATATATAGTAGTAATTTTTTTTTTTTAACTTTGATGGGGGGTTATGGCCCCACAGCCCCCCACTTACCCCACATTGGCTTCTCTACGTAAGATTAGCTTATATATTTATATACTAGCATTTTTCCTCGTGCGATGAACGAGATATTATTTAAATATTGAAAGAAATTTTTTAGCAATTTAATAAATAATAAGAAAATATAGTACACTAATATAGTAAAATTTAATAATGTAGTAGTATTCATATTAAAAATTATAGTTAAAAAATTAGTAAAGAAAAAATATTAAAAATAAATAATTACATAAGTACCAATAAGGTAGGATTGGGGTTAGTTTTAATTTTGATAATTGTTAAAAAATAGGGGCTCTTTGAGAAAACCTCCTCATTACTTTTTTTAATGGAGAGAGTTCCAAAATATTTCTCTCCATTTGAGAAAAACACATACCCATTTTCAGCCATTATGTTCTCCAGCTTTACCCTGCCCGCCACCTCATCACTGGGTCAAGCGCTCAGCGATTTTTTTTTTTCGTTTTTTTAATCGACTATGAAGCATAGTCGATTAAAGAAATTCTTTAATTTTTAATTTTTTTGTTTTTTAATTTTTTATATCAGGTATATTAATGGACTATGATGAAACATAGTCGATGAAGAATCTGCTACTAAACATAACAAATCACAACACCGAAAAAATGTAAAATCAACTATATTTTACAAAACACAAAAATTATACAAACATTATAATTGATTTATATACTTGGAATCAATAAACAAAACAATCGATTAACACTTACCAGAGCGTAGTCGATTAACTTAATCGAATATAAAAAAACGTAGTCGGCTAACTTAATCGACTAACTTAATCGACTAACGTAGTCGATTAACCTCCGCGGACATTCTCTGCACGCGTCAGCTTCCGTCCAATCTATCCAAAAAATCCTAAATCAGCTCCTCATCTTCACCACGCCGCCGCCGCACCACACCATCACCACTTTCGTATGACAAAATCTTCACTTTTACCGTCACAATGCGAAACTGTAAGAGCATCCACCTTTCATGGGGTTGTGTGTGTCTACACTTATTAAAGTGGTCATAATAATAACTTCACTTATTAAAATATTAGAATAAACAGTTGCTGTTAGTTTGTTCTTTGTTCCCAGGCCTTGTACAACAAAACTACTTGGCCTGTGGATACTGCTTCCCACAATACATCTGAAATATTCCTGCCCAAATTATATACACAAATCAATTTCAAATTATATATATATATATATATATATATATATATATATATATATATATATATATATATATATATATATATATATAAACACATATTACCCAAAAATCACATAAAAAATACTAAAAATTGAACACACAGATAAAATTAGGAGAAATAACCTGTATTTTGTGTGGAGGAGGAATGTTCAGCCAGTTCAACCTCCCAAATCTCCTCCGCCGATTCTCGTTGCTGGAGCACCGGCGCCTCCTCTGTGGGGATGGTGAACCCGTTTTCTTGAGATTATGCAATTATGATTTTATGATTATTTCTTCTACTTGTTATGATAGTTAGTGCATGAACCTGATCAATTTATGTGCTTTATCTGCGATTATTGGGATTGACTTGACAGAGCTATTTTGATAATTAGACGGTAAGTAAAAGAAGCTTCGAGTAGTTTTCACCGGATGAGTGTGTCAATTGCATGTGGTATCGTAGACATACATATATTCACCTTAGGTAATCATTGTTGAGACTTATGCTTTAATGCTTTATTCATGATCGAATTGCATAGACATATAGTAATTTGGTTTTGGATAATAGAATTATAATACACGCGACAGCAGGTTACAAGTAATATTGTGTCTCAGGTTAATAATCATGAATCATATATTTCATAATTGGGGGATTTTGGGTGAACAATTCTTGCATAGGGGAAGATAAAATCCTAGGTCCGTTTTTATTGATATTTTCTCGTGTTTATTTGCTTTCATAATTAATTTAATTATTGGACGAATGGCAAAAAGGTCCATCACATGGGACTTTAACGCATTTTGGTCCAAAAAAAAAAAGTCTCTCAATTAAACCCATCCCCATATCTTTAGTCAAAAATACCCTCCATAATATAATTCTTATCAATTCCATCCATTATGCTCTAACTTCCTTAATATTACACATTGACTCCGGATTCAAACAAATATATCACATTAACCCTCAAATTTTTTTTTTCAGAAAATAATTTTTTTCTGAATTTTTTTTCCGGCCATATTCCAGCATTGACCGCCGGTCTCCGGCGTTGACTTTTTTTTTTTTTTTTTAAATTTTTTTTCCTAAAATTGTTTTCCGGCCGGTCAACCACTGTTGACCGGTGGTTGACCTCCGATCTCCGACGTTGATTTGTTTTTTTTTTTTTTTTTTTTTTTGAATTTTTTTTTCTTAGAAACAATATTTTAATTAATATTACTGTCTTGGCTACTAAATTACTGTCTCAGACAGTAATATTACTGTTTGGAACAGTAATATTATGAATATTATTTTCCCGAACAGTAATATTATTATATTATTGTCTAAGACAGTTAAATTACTGTTGGAGACAGTAATTTAGCAGCCAAGGCAGTAATATTAATTAAAATAATATTTTTAAGAAAAAAAAAAGTCAATTAACAATTAAATTACTGTCTCTGACAGTTAAATAACTGCTGGAGACAGTAATTTAGCAACGAATACAGTAGTATTAATTTTTTCTTTTTTTTAAGAATAAATAAGTCAATTAACAATTAAATTACTGTCTCCGATAGTTAAATAACTGTTGGAGACAGTAATTTAGTAACGAAGATAGTAATGTTAATTAAAATATTTTTGAAGAAAAAAAAAGACAATTTACAGTTAAATTACTGTCTCCGACAGTTAAATAACTGCCGGAGACAGTAATTTAGCAGCCAAGACAGTAATATTAATTAAAATATTTTTTTAAGAAAAAACAAAATCAAAAAAAAAAGAAAGTTCAAAGCCGGAGACTCGGCGGTCAACGGCTGTTGACAGGCCGGGAAAAAATTTCTGGGAAAAAAAGTTTTTCAAAAAAAAAAAAAAGAAAAAGTCAACGCCGGAGACCGGCGGTCAACGGCGGCGACGGGTCAAAATTGGGGTCAAAATTGAAATTAGGGTTAAAATTGGTTAATTGATGAAATTGGGCTAAATTGGGGTGTAAATCATGAGTTGAATTGAGTTTCAATGAATTGGGGGTAATTTTGGTATATATAAAAGGATTTTACTTATTTGCAAATAAGTTTGAATGAGCTGGACTTATTTGAAAGACAAAAAAATTGGATGTCTCTTTTTTAATTAAGTGCCCTTATTATGGGTCTATTTGCCATTTACCCTTAATTATTTAGTTGATTAGAGATGTAGCTCATATATTATTTCAATCTAAGGATTTAATTAAAAAATTGAATTTAAACTTATTATTTAGTTCAAATTATGTTTCGTTTTAGTGGCTCGAGGCATATTACCCATACATTAATTATTGTTGTAAAGTTGGGCATACCAAAAACATTATTGAACAAACAGTTGCATGTGTGTAGGGGCAACTATTGATGGACGTACATTAATTGAAGACATGCAATTAAATTTCTTTTATGGAAGATAATGTTCGGTCAACAAAGACAAATGTAATATATAAAAGAAAATCATAAAATATTAATAAGTGAAATTTCTATCTATTATTTATTAATAGGAGGCCCTTTAATTTTCCCAAGGAAAAAAGAAAAGGAAACATTGATTCATCATGTCTACCCTTACCTGGCCAATCAAAATTCCTAATAACAGCTTTGTATCTTCTATTCCAGCTTTTAATGGCATAATAGTAATTAGGCCTTGTTTATTACAATGCAATACTCAGGTTAACTGTGATCATACTCGATTACTTACAACTGTTAATCGACGGTCTGGAAACTACGAGCCTCCCGTTTGGGGTTTCGATTTCGTTCAGTCATTGACCAGTAAATATAAGGTAAAACATATATATATCCATAATATTGATTATTCATCATTAGTAATTTTTAATATAAAAGTATATTCAATATGCTTGTTTTGTATATATATATATATATATATATATATAGGGTTAATAGCATTTTCCCACCTAGACTTTGCCCGTTTTTGCACTTTCCCACCTCAACTAAAAAAAGTTGCACGGCGGCACCCAAACATTCATTTTTGACGCACATAACCACCTAAGGGGAATATTCCGGCGAATATTCTCATTTTTCAACGCACGCGCGATGCACATGCGAAAGTACAAGGGTTTTTCGTCTTTTCACCTCAAAATATCATAAGAGGATGAAATTGAAAGTACCAGGGACTCAATTGAACTTAATTTGAAACTTTAACAAATTTGAAATTAATTGAAGCTTTGTGGCTTCATCTTCCATGGGATAAAAACACCCACCGCCTGAGCCCCGTGAACAAAAGGGCCGCTGCCGTTGGAGAATTCCGGCGGGGCCGGGGGGGCGGCTACCGTTGGAGAACGCCCTATGTATCAAAAAGGAAAAACCCAACCAGAAATTAAAAAGGGGGAAAAACGAGTTCAAACAAAATATGGAAGGTACAACAAACCTTGGAAGTCATGGACTGAAGCTCCGGCGGGTATTCATCTTCGTTACTCGAAACGGAGGAAGAATCGGCGGTGGTGTGGCCCTCCGACGAGTCTTCGCCGGCGGCGATTTCCTGATTGTGATCTCTGAATCGGAATCTCGACGTGGAAGTTGAGGTCGAGTCCATGGGGAATCGACGGTTTGATGAAGAGTTGCTGCGATTGGAAGTTGAAGAAAATGTAATTTCGAGGTTTTGATAAGCACTGGGTTGTCGTTTTCTGCCGCCATTGTTGTTTGGAAAAAAGCTTGGGTTTGTTCGTTTGAAAAAAATATTCAGCTGCAGGCCCGAATAAAATAAATAGTGGGCACAAAGCTTCAATTAATTTCAAATTTGTTAAAGTTTCAAATTAAGTTCAATTGAGTTCTTGGTACTTTCAATTTCACCCTCTTATGATATTTTGAGGTGAAAAGACGAAAAAACCCTTGTACTTTCGCATGTGCATCGCGCATGCGTTGAAAAAGGAGAATATTCGCCGGAATATTCCCCTTAGGTGGTTATGTGCGTCAAAAAACTGAGTTTGGGTGGGCACTTGCAACTTTTTTTAGTTAAGGTGGCAAAGTGCAAAAACGGGCAAAGTCCAGGTGGCAAAATGCTATTAACCCATATATATATATATATATATAGGAAGAGAGATATTTGAAGAGGGGTTGTGAGTTGGTGGAGCAAGTGAAGAAGATGTTATTAGTGGATGAACAAATATTAATTCAGAAATTGGAGTTGATTGATAATTTACAGAGGCTTGGTATATCTTATCATTTTGAAGAACAAATCCACCAAATATTGAGTTGTTTATACAATGATGGAAATAAATATTACTATCAAAGGGATTTGTACTCGGCAGCACTTGGATTCAGACTCCTCAGACAACACGGTTTTAGCGTCTCCCAAGGTAAATAGGTTTTTTATTTTTATTTTTTAACGACGCCCGACAAGGGTGTGTGATTGGGTTGGACCCATACACACGGTTAGGGCTATGCGTTGGTTGGGTTGGTTAAAAATCAGCCATAAAACCAACTCAACCCATCCAACCAACTTTGGTAAATATGGGAAATCGTTATCGACCAAATTTAGTGGGTCAGTTGATGGTTTGGTTGACGAGTCATCCATCGAAATATTTTTTTAATATTTTATTAGTTGTAAGTTGTTACAACACTATTTTTTTTACAATTAAATATGACTAGTTCAACAATATATGTTCGAATACAAAATTCTAAACATTACGCGCCATATGTATTGCAATTAAATGTAGATAATTCAACAATTAATAATCGTCCAAATATTTTAGGCTATGTATTAAAATTAAAATAGTTCAAATTAGATAATTATGTTAGAGTTATTGCTTTTAGGATTTTGGTCAATATTAGATAATTTAATAAACGTGATATAAAATAGAAATTTGAAATTAAAAATATTAAACACTTTAAATAAAATTAATAAATAAAGTTGGTTGACCGATATTACCCGACTAACCAATTTTTTAGTATATTAGAAACCATTATCGACCCAACTACACATGGGTTGGTTGACATTATCGACCCAACTTAAATATGTCGGTTGATGGTTGATTATCCGTCACAAATTATGCGTCGAAAATGAGTTGGTTATGGTTAAAACCGATCAATGCACAACCCTACACACGGTGAGATTTTTTAGGGCCCCATGCGAGATTTGAAGATGATGAAAAAAATGGGGGGTTTGGGGGGGGGGGGGCTATCTACAATAAAACTCATTTTCTCTAAACAGGTGATAAACTCTGTGTTAACTCGTTTTTGTAAGGTATATATATAACCCAATGGCAAGGCTAGATATTTGGGATATAGTGGGGTTAATGTTTCCGGGATTTCAGGGGCAGCACCCCGACGTTTTAAAACGATAATTTGCATTAAGTAACTCTAAACAAGTGAACATATATATAAAAATAAATAATTAATACATTATAAATTTTGTAATTAGGGCCCATGATTAGAGGCATTATAGAAATAAGTTAAATTGTTGATTTAATATTTATTTATGAATTAGGAGTTCTCAATAATTACATATGTAGTATAATTTTTTTGAATAAATGTTAATAAATAAAGGTTATAAAAACTTTGGGGCCCTAAATTTGTAAAAAAATGAAGGGGTCTTAGACGATCGTCTACTTCTCCTCCCCTTAGAACTTGCCCTACCCATGCATGTCTTTAGCTCAAAAATCAATAATTACATAATGAGTTTCATGCAAAACGCTACAACTCAAAAATTGGCTAAAAATAACAGCTGCCACAAATAGAGAAATACTGGCAAAACATGTAACTAAAGAAGAGAGAGAGAGAGTAATGAGAATGATCACAGAAAAATTGGGAAAACCGGGATACTCCGTTCACCTCACTATAACAGTTGACCAACTTACAGTTCCATAAAAAAAATTATGGAATAGGTATAACGACTGCAAAATATGTGGCACCATGCACCAAAAACAGATAATTCCAAATAGACGCAAACAAATTATGACCATCTCATCATTGCCCAACATCGAATAAACGAGAATCTGCCTAATATGAAAAACTATTAAAAATTAAATGGACACTGCTGAAAATGTAGGAACGTGAGAAAAACATGACACCCCTATGTTAGAGAATGGCGTCGAAAGGATGGATATCCAAACTGGTCCATTCGAATCATTTGTTGAATATTTCGGGGAAGCTCCCTTGCAGTGGAGGTATGAGCCAACTCGATCTGACACCCCAAGGTGGCTAATGCCTCAGCGACTGAATGCCCTCCTGATAGCTAGATAGAACATATATAAATGTGTATAAGTGTGTGTATTTAATTTAAGGGTAAATAGCACTTAACCTTCTTGTGGTTTGGACATTTTGCACATGACCCCCTTATGGTATGAATTTAGGCACATAACCCCCTTGTGGTTTTGACATTTTGCACATAACCCCTGATGGTATGAAATTAAGCACATAACCCCCTTATGGTATGAAATTATCACAAAACCCCCTTCAATAGAAAACTGGAAAAGACTAAATTACTCCTATCAAGTCAAAATTCTTGTTCTAATTTAAAAATAATTATTCTATAAAATGAAAGCTGAATGTACTTTTTTTGTAAAATGAGAAATATAATATATTATTGTGTTTTTTTTAATTTTACAGCACAAATGGTATAAAATATTAGTTATTGAACGATTGACAACTTATTCGATTTTAAAAATCAATTTGAAAATCTTTAACATTATCATTAATTATGATTATTATATTACTTTTTTTTATATAATATATTATACTATAGCTGTTATCGAACTTTAATTTTTTTAAGAAACAAATTATTTTTTTTTTCCTTTTGGAAAAACTAAAAAAAACATTTCTCTAAAGTTGAAATGAAAATTAAATTTAAAAAAAATATATGTGCGGTAAAATAGAAAAAAACACAATAATATATTATATTTCTCATTTTACAAAAAAGTACATTAAGGCCTTAATTTTATAGAATAATTATTTTTAAATCAAAACAAGAACTTTTGACTTGATAGGGGTAATTTCGTCTTTTCCAGTTTTCTATTCAAGGGGGTTATGTGCTAATTTCATACCATAAGGGGGTCATGTGCAAAATTTCAAAACCACAAGGGGGTTATGTGCCTAATTTCATACCATAAGGGGGTCATGTGCAAAATGTTCAAACCACAAGGAGGTTAAGTGCTATTTACCCTTAATTTAATTATATTTGAAGGTGATTCTTAGTTTTTACTACATTGTAGATGTGTTTAATAGTTTCAAGAACGAGTCCGGTGATTCTTTTAAGGCGAGTCTTGGAGACAATATTAATACCGAAGGATTGTTGCAACTTTATGAAGCTTCTTTTCTGATGAGACGTGGCGAAAGCACATTGGAGGTAGCTAGAGAATTTGCCGCCAATTTATTGCGGAAAAAACTTGATCGAGTTGATGACGAAGATGTTTTATTATTAATGGCCGTTCGACATGCATTGGAGCTCCCAATTCATTGGAGGGTTCAAAGGCCAAATGCAAGATGGTTCATCAAACAATTCTATGCGAAAAAACCAGACATGAATCCAACTATGCTCGAGCTTGCCAAACTCGACTTCAACATTGTTCAAGCAAAGCACCAAAAAGAACTCAAACATCTCTCAAGGTGAATTATTTAGATCTCAACAAACTCGTCTTTCAAGATCTATAGTACATAATTTTCTAATTAGCAAATTTTTTTTTGAGTTTCGTATAAAGTTGGTGGGAGGAAACAGGGCTTGCTAAAATATTACCATTCGCGAGGGATAGGTTGATCGAGAATTACCTATGGACCATCGGTGGGTTGTTCGAGCCTCAATATGGATATTCAAGAATCATGGCAACCAAGGTCAATGTCTTTATTACAATAATCGACGATATATTCGATGTTTACGGTACTTTGGAAGAACTAGAGATCTTCAATGACGTCATTCAAAGGTCCGAATAATTAATTAAACTTATTTTAAAACTAGCTAGAAAAATTCAATGTTTGTTTATTATTTTTCAGATGGGACATTGAAGGAATCGACAAACTCCCGCACTATATGCAGATGTGTTTTCTAGCTCTCAACAACTTCGTCGACGAATTGTCGTACAATGTTCTCAAACAACAACGATTTCTCGTCATCCCACATTTGAGAAAATCAGTAATTAGAATTATATTAATTTCTAGTTATTTACTCCAAATTAAAAAATATTTGATTATTGATTTATATATAAACTTAATTTTGCAGTGGGCAGATCTATGCATGGCATATCTACTAGAGGCGAAGTGGTACTCGAAAGGGTACACACCGACACTCGAAGAATACATCAACAATGCATGGATTTCGATATCTGCTCCTGTAATACTCTCTCATGCATTTTTTCTTGTGACGAATCCAATAAACAAAGAAGCCGTTCGAAGCTTGTACGAATACCACAACATAGTTCGATTTTCGGCAATGATTCTACGCCTTGCAAACGACCTTGGAACATCACCGGTTCGTAAATATATATATATATAGTGCCGATAATTAATATTTTTCATTATCATAAGAAAATGTTTTTTTGTTGACTTAATTATTAGGATGAGATGAAAAGAGGAGATGTTCCGAAATCGATCGAGTGTTACATGAATGAAAGCGGTGTTGGTAGAGAAGAGGCGGAAGAGTATGTAAGGTGTTTGATAAATGAGACGTGGAAAGAGATGAACGAAGAATTACGAGTTATTACAGATTCGCCATTATTCGAACGAGATTTTGTGAGAAGTGCGGTTGATCTAGGGAGAATGGCACAGTACATGTATCAACATGGAGATGGGCATGGAATTCAATTTCCTCAGATGAAGGAACGTATTATAAGTTTGTTGTTTGAGCCCTTTTGTGTGTAAACATTATTTGACTAGCTAGTATAACTAATACGGCTTATTGCAATCAAGACCACTGTGTTATATCGAAGTGCTAAAAAACTGCTCTATGTTATTTTATTGACAAAAATCCGTATTTGATTCAATTTGTTTTAGCACACAACCCCCTAAACAGAGGTACAAATTGATAAAAAAAAATTAAATCATAGGGGAGTTTTTGCCAATAAAATAACATAGGGTAGGTTCTTGACAATTCAATATGACAAGGGTACTAAAACGGGTCACTATTTTACACTGAACCCCATTTATATATGAGGCTCTTTTAGAAAACCCCAAACTATTTGAGATAAACACTTGCTCCTTTCACTTTCTCCCTAATCTAAAATTGTCCTTTCACTGTCTTCTTTCCACTACACCAATTCCCATTATCGTTTTCTCTTTTTTCTTTTTCTTTTTATTTATTTTTAATAAATTAAACTTCATTTTTTGTTTATTATTTTATTCTTTAAAAAATAATAATTATTTTTATATAATTTTTTTTTGTTTTTAAACATTTTTTTCGTGTGCCAGGTATATTAATCACTAAAGCATAGTAGATTAACGAACTGACTACTAAAATCGTGGTTAAATAATGAAATTGTACTAAAAAAGACAAACGTAAAACAGTCAATAAAACCAACACGGTTCAACAGAAAAATCCAAACAATAACCAACTTAAACAAATAACAAAAACAACTACAAGAAAATGAAAATCAACTATTTTTTTACAAAACAACAAATATACAAAAGTTCTAATTAATTTATACACATCAGATAGTGGATTGAAAGTAGTAAAACAAAATGTACTACATCTAAGCCCCCAAGAGTCCAACTATGTGTGGTAAAATAAAGAAAAAAAATTAAAATTCAAAAATTAATTAAAAAATGTAGTCGATTAACCTTAATCGAGTACTAAAACATAGTCGATTAACATTAATCGACAACTAAACATAGTCAATTAAGGCTCCAACCTCCGCGAATTTCTTCCACCCGCGCTGTCTTAAGCGCAATCGACCCCAAAAATCCTAGATCTGCTCCCCATGTCACCACGTCGTCGCCACACCACGCCATCACCATCTCCGCCTCCATATTCTGACCGCAAAAAAATTACAATGTAAACCATAATCTGCACCACCACCATCAAAATCACGATATGCCCGCCGCCTAGGGTTCAACCGCCACACTTCCGAACGTCGTCAAAACACCCCTAACTTCTGATGCCATCACTCCAACTCCCCACCTTTACAGAAAGATGCAAGGAGAGAGAGGCCGACAAGAATTGATGGAGTCCTATCGCATCCCAACAACTGAGGTCACTCTCCAACCCGCGAACGAAATCCTTCAAAATCAGAAGCGGGAGAATTGCGTTGACAAGGCGAAGCCAATAGTGGGTGCATCGCTCTTTTGACCGCCGAATAGAGAGCAACGACCGGCGAAAGCACCCCAAGAGCAAAGAAGACAAAGACAAAGGGGGTGAAAGAAAGCTTGGAGAAGAGAAAAGACTGGGAAAATAAAAGAGAGAAAAGCAGAATGAGATTGGTCATCAAAATTCGACAAAATTCGACGCCCACATCAATTGTGCTCACAAAACCGTTCGTTTCTCCCTACTAACACTAGGCCAAAACAGTCGACTGGCGACGAAATTTGGCGACGAAAATGTGTATTTGGCGACGATTTTTTTTGTTTGCGACGAATTATTTTCGTCGCCAAATCCTACACAAAACGTCGCCAAACGTCCCGTCGCAAGGTCGGCGACGAAAAGACATTTTCGACGCAAAGGTTGGCGACGAATTTCATAAATCGTCGCAACATTCGTATTTTCTGGAAAAAAAATGTTTTTTTTTAATATTCGCGACGGATCCTATACTTTCGTCGCTTCCATGTTGCGACGAATACGTAATAAGTCGCAAACGTTGGCGACGAATGTTATTTTCGTCGCTATTGTGAGCGACGTTTTGTGACGTTTTCGTCGCTACGTTTACGAAAAATATTTGCGACTAATGTCCGTTTTCATCGCAAGACCCACAATTTATTTGCGACGATTTGTTTTATTTATTCGTCGCTAGGTTTTTTATTTTTTTTAATATAATTTCTGGTTTATTTATTTTTTCATTTAAGAAATTCAACCTGTATTCAGCAGTTGTACAAAAAAAAATACACTTATATCGAAAATATTAAAACCAATTATACGGATTAAATATCAAGGTAGCACAAAACATAAATTAAAAAAGTACATAAAACTTAAAAGCATATAATGTAGTGTTGCAAAGTTTAATTAAAAAACCAAACAAAGTTCATCACTTTTTATACTCCACCATCATTGGAAGGAGTCGATGTCGAGGCTTGTAGTCCAAAACGGCCGACCAAGGTGTTCACAATTTCTCGGGTTTCTTTCAATTCCGCTTCCAATCTTTCTTGAATTTTGAAGCTCGTATAATCCCTCGATTCTTATCATTTCCGCCATCAAGGCGAGCAAAAAAGGGCACCTATTTCATTTGGTCGACATAGTGGGAACTTTCGATGAAAATAAACCCGACATTCCAAAGTGCCAACCATTTGTGAATTTCCCGATGTCTTTCCCGAAGATATCCCCGGTCTTCTACCTGATCGCGAAATCGAATTAGAAATAAATTTGATCCCCGGCTCCACTCCTATCTCTAAGGCACCTGACCGCATGGCGCCTCTAGAGCTAAAGGAACTCAAAGACCAAATTCAAGATTTTATCGATAAGAAGTTTGTTCGCCCTAGTTTTTCCCCATGGGGTGCCCCGGTCCTCTTCGTGTATAAGAAAGACGGAACCCTTCGAATGTGTATCGATTACCGAGAGCTCAACAAGGTCACTATAAAAAACAAATACCCCTTGCCAAGAATCGATGATCTTTTCGACCAACTTCAAGGCTCCACGGTCTGTTCCAAAATTTACCTCCGTTCTGGGTACCATCAATTGAAAATCATGAAGGAAGATATTCCGAAGATCGTGTTCCGAACTCGTTACGACCATTACGAATTTGTAGTAATGTCGTTTGGTCTAACCAACGCTCTGGCTGCTTTCATAGACCTTATGAATCGAATCTTCCAAAAATATCTTGATAAATTCGTATTCATCGACGATATCTTAATTTATTCAAGAAACGATGAAGAACATCATAAACATTTGGAAATAGTGCTCCAATCTCTCCGAGAGAACCAACTCTATGTGAAATTCTCCAAATGTGAGTTTTGGTTAAAGAGAGTGTACTTTCTTGGTCATGTTTCCAAAAAAGGCATATCCGTCGATCCGAGGAAAATTGAAGCCGTTTGTAATTGGCCAATCCCTCGGAATGTCGGAGACTTCCGAAGTTTCCTCGGCCTTGCGGGCTACTACCGATGGTTGGTTCCGAACTTTTCCAAGGTAGCCGCTCCACTCTTTCGATTGACCTGAAAGGAAGTTAAATATCAATGGACTCCCGAATGCGAATCTATTTTCCAAGAACTCAAGAAAAGATTAACCTCCGAACCAATTCTCTCTCTACCTGAGAAAACCAGGAACTATGTGATCTATAGTGATGCTTCCAAACACGGACTTGGAGCCGTCCTAATGCAAAATAGGAACGTGATTGCCTATGCCTCTAGACAATTAAAATATTATGAAAATAACTACCCGACGCACGACTTGAAACTCTCGGCAGTCGTGTTCGCCCTCAACGGAGAAAAATGTTCGATTTACACCGTCCACAAAAGTCTCAAATACTTTTTCACTCAAAAAGAGCTCAATATGAGGCAAAGAAGATGGCTTGAATTAGTAAAGGACTCTGAGCGAAATCCTTTACCATCCCGGTGAAGCCAACGCAGTCACCGATGCTCTTAGTCAAAAATCCATGCCTGCTTTGATCATTAAACCACCTCTTGAATCAACTATCAAGTCCGCTCAAGACCATGACGTCCAACTTCTAAAATCCGAGAAATCTTAGCAATCAGTCGAAACCCAAATTTCTCGATGACCAATGGCGAACTCTTAAAATTTCAAGGAAGAATTTGCATTCCGGCAAGCAACGAAATAAATGAATTAATTCTCAACGAAGCACACAAAACCCCCTACACTTGCCATATGGGTGAAACCAAAATGTATCAAGACTTGAAGAAGTTGTGTGACCAGGAATGAAAAAAAAGATATAGCCAAATACGTATTCGAATGCCTAATTTGTCAACAAATCAAAACAGAATATCAAAGGCCCGGGGGACTTATACAATCGAACCTTATTCCCTAATGGAAATGGGGAAGAGTAACCATGGCCTTCGTCCAAGGTTTCCCTAAGACGCTTAAAGGATCTGATTTGATATGGGTAATAGTCGATCACCAATCCACGCACTTCTTACCGGTTAAGACTACTTCTAGTCTCGAAAAGTTGGCCAAACCCTATATCCGAGAAAGCGCCCGACTCCACGGAGTTCTGATATCAATCATTTCCGACCGAAATCCCTGATTCACTTCCAATTTTTGTAAAAGCTTGCAGGAAACAATGGGAACCCATCTAGCTTTTAGTACGGCGTACATCCCCAAACCAACGGACAATTGAAAAGGATAATCAAAACCCTCGAAGATATGCGTCAAGCATGTATAATGAATTTTGGTGGCAATTGGAAAAGCCGTCTACCACTCATCGAATTCTCGTACAACAATAGCTTACAATCTTCGATCGGAATGGCACCTTACGAAGCATTGTACGAATAAAATGTCGTTCTCCAATCCATTGGGACGAAGTAGGAGAGTGAAAGTTATTAGAACCCGAGCTAGTAAAAAACACCGTCGACATAATCAAGAATATTCGGGAGAAATTGAAAACCGCCCAAGACCGCCAACAAAAATATGCAAATAAAAGGAGACGAGACTTGGAATTCCAAGCCGGCGATCATGTCTTCTTAAAAGTCGCTTCACTCAAGGGAATCGTGCGATTCGGAAAACAAGGAAAGCTAAGCCCTCGATATATCGGACCATTCAAAATCCTAGATTGAATCGGTGGCCAAGCCTATCGCCTTGCCCTACCACCTCAACTGTCCAAAATCAACAATGTATGTCATGTGTCTAAGCTCCGAAAATATATTTCTAATCCTGACCACATTCTTGAAAGCGAACCAATCGATTTATCCCCGAACCTATCCTTTACCGAAGAACCCTCTCATATATTAGACCGAAAGGTTAGGAAACCTCGAAACAAAGATGTTCGCCTAGTCAAAATCATTCGGAGAAATTATTCTCCGGACGAGGAAACGTGGGAACTTGAGAATGAGATTGTGAGTCGTTATCCCGAACTAAATGAAAAAGGTACAAAGGAAGATTGTAACACCCCACATTTTCTGTAAAATATTAGTATTTTATTTTACCACATCTACGTACAAATTTATTAGATTAGAAATTAGAACAATCCTTGCATAACTAATTGTTTATATGTGAATTATGGGATTATGTGAATTATGTGATTAGAAAATATTTAGAAATATTATGTCGAAACTAAATATTTCAGGAAATTGGAAAATACATTATTTCCATGAACAAAAACTTGATTCTTACTTGATGAATTTAAATTCATATCTTATTATTTTAAACTAATTGGTTTTATAGACAATTCATATATAATAACTGAATTTAACAAATTTAATAGAAGACCTAATCTAAAAAACCGAATATACTACTAACTAATTAATTAATTAGTCAGTAGGAAGTTAATCTAATCTCATCTAACCCAATCTAATCCAATATAGGTAACCGAACGAGCCCTAAATTGACTAATAATATTGACTAAGAAAAATTCTTTAAAGCAACAACTAATTTGAAACCGAGGGAGTAGTATTCAAAGGACCCCAAATAGTTCTCTCATTAAATTATTATCACTAAATTATTATTCATACAAATAAAATATTCCTTGTAATTTTCGCAACTTTCATCCTTTTTATGGCCCCGGCTGGCAAATCAGAAACGGGCTAGCTGCTAGCCCCTACGTCCCTACCTCTACCTTTCATATATGTAGACAACAAACATTCATGCATACACTCAATTGTTGAAGATGCACCAATAAGCGTACGAGACCAAAGTAGTGTTAAGAGTTGCGTCCCATGGTAGCTATTGCCTACTAGACACGTGCTTAGCAAATAGCAAGCTTCATCATTTAATACCATCAATAACAAATTAGTTACAGAGTTATTAGTGGCGAATGCAGGATTTCATCACTGGGAGGCCGAATATGCATTCAAAAATAACATAAACAAATGAATGAAAACAATGGTGAATCTAAGATGTTGATACATGATGGGACTTGATTTTTTGGGGGTTCGGGACAGTGCCCCTGGAAAAAAAAATCAATTTTTTTTGTATAAAAACAAAAGATAGGAAAAGAAAAGTTATTATTTTTTTTGCATTTATCTGAATTTTAGGTGCACTAAATAATAAGATTTTGGTGGAATTACTAGATATAAAGGCGTAATACCGTGGAATTTTTTACAATTGAGGATGACTTGACTCCATCACTTCACAAGGGTGGATTCGCTCCTAGTTCCAAGTTTACAATTCATAACTTTTTTATCCTACTTGTTAGATCCATTTATTATAAGAGGACAATGCAAATGCAAAAAACTATACATACATACATATATAGTAGTAAACAAAAATTAAAATTTGAGATGGGGCCATGGCCCCCCGCCCTACACTGGCTTCCCCACTGAGAGTACCACCGTCAATAATATCAAATCAAGAAAATTATCCAGCAGCAGCAGCATCTCAGGTAAATGGATAGAAATTTGAGAAAAGTAAACTGCCGAGGAAAATGTAAGCCGCGCAATAGGCCCATATGAAATACCCCCATTTCTTCCCAATACCAGGAGATCCCATAATAAGTGACGCAAACCAGTACACAAGAGGGCTAGCGGATAAGAAACGAGTTGCAACCTGTCAAGAACCATGATTTTACCCATGAGACGGCGTATATACATGCTGTATAAACATTAAGCAATCAACAAACGCATATGTTAACAAGAAATCAACAAAAGTAAATTTGCTAATACAGTTACAATAGACGTAATCAATAGACGCATGAGAAAAAACAGAATTAGAACTAACACTTAAACAAATATAGAAGAATCAGCCACTAAAATCAGTGGTAAAAGAGGCACAAAGATGGTTTTCTTCCTAGTTCTAATTCTATTTCTTCTCATGGACACAGGACAAACCACAGCATGCCTTAGTGCCTAGCCGAAAACTAGACGATCATGCATATATCTACATCTCAGCTATATATATATATATATATATATATATATATATATATATATATATATATCGCATAATCAGTCAGAAGCGGATCATACAAAGGTGCAACAAGCAAAGGAAGAAATGGTGCTAAACTATGAAAGAGAACAGTCTTATTACCATACTATTTTAAAAACAGTCGCATTTAAAATAAATACTTTTGATTAGGGTTAACTGCAAAAAATCCCCTAAACTTTGGACGTTTTTGCGCTTTACCCCTGAACGGAAAAAAGTTGCACGGACATACCTGAACTTCACTTATCTTTCATATTTTAAACAGTCTCAAGAAATTCAAAAACACAAGTCTACTAGCTCTTCCTTATTCAGTATTGGATTTATTTTCTCCATTTCTTTTATACTATTTGAAGTATTTTGGTGAATGTTTGCACTTGAATAGAAAATGGATTATGATAATCAGCAATCAGATTAAAATTTCTTAGGCATTTTGACAGCTACGACTCATCAGGTCATTTAATTGGAACCACTACTTGGGGATTGGACAACCTAGAATTACCGAAAAAAGAACTGCGTATGGTAGGTATTGCAGAGTCTAGTTAACAAGAAAAATCCGTGATATATTTAGCAAAGTTAACAAGAAAAATATGTGATAGAAAAGTTTCGCCACTTTTGCAGCCCATTTAGATGAGGATCCGGGCCGCGGAATCCAAGCAAACCAAATTATATTCACCGTAACTACGTCCATAAGAAAAATAAGGATTCTGCTCAAACCATGGTTTGTTAATTGCGAAAGACTAGTCAAGCTTATTCAAATTAATCATTTCATTTTACTTGTTGTCTGTTTTCTGCTAGGCAAGTACCAAGTTTTGATGTTACGAATATATCCCTATAAATTTATCAAACATATTTCTTGCCGGGAGAAAAGGAGGACTTATCTGCATCAATTACTTCAACATGGAAACTTTATGAACTAATGAAAAATTAGCATATTATGTAAAAACACTTTTTTATTCCAAACTGCACTCGTTCAAGAAACAACAGTGCAAAATAAGTTTGGGCTGACCTGAACATGCATGACAAAAAATGCGGTTGCGACCATGAAGCTCAAGTGCAGAACAAAAGGAAGAACAACAACAGGATCGTAATGTAGGCCGTCTGACGTTTCACTTTTGGATGGCTGTATAACCAAATCTTCTCTTTTGATAGCTCTTCGTCTTAGTCCGAGAGTACTGTCATCTGAGTTGGATAACCAGTCAATTGAGATGTTAATGCCTCACATTAGAAGGAACAAAGATAACTGCGACTTTTAAGTCAAAATAAGTGATGGGACTTCAGAATTAAGTGAGAAAATCTAATAACTGTTAAATAAGTGCGTATGGACCTGACTGAATCTGTTGGAGAGTAAGCTAAAGTTAACCTGTGCATAGGACCGAAGGGGTAATACAAAAATTGGCATCGGAAACTAAGAACATCAGGGACTTGATAACAAAAAAACACGGGTACATTTGGACCATAGAAGCAGCCAATTAAAAAAAATCCATATGTACATATGTCCGTCTCCAACTCGGAGAAGTGAACCATAGCGATATACTAAACCCTAGGAAATACGAGAAGAGAACATAGGAAAAGATTAATTTTTAACAGCAAAGATGTAATCCGTGTTGCAGCTTCTTAACTAGCAGAAGCCAAGAGTAATACACCTCCACTGCTTAATACGTGTAGGAAGCAGATTGTATTGGTTTTGTAATATGAGTCTCGTCTCACTTCCACTAATCAAAACGGAGGTGGGATTTTCATGAAAACTGCATATGTGAGACCGAAATCGCTAAATTATCTCCTGCTTTTACAATTTGACGATAGCGTAAATTTGAGCTTTCTAAGCTATGTAGCACAATGAGCTGAACCATAAACAACACACTCTCAATGACTAAACGAGCAGGCACCGACAAAAGTACATGGATATATATGTTTATACATAATAATGGATATACGGTGGAACTAGAAGAGGAAGGACTGTAGGTAAATCCAATCATTACGCTCGTATTTTAAAACCTTTAAGCCTCTAAACCTATCTGTCCTACACTGTAATATTGCCATGCTCGTTGATTCTATCACGATAAATTTGTATTCTGCTAGAAAAACTCTAGCCTTCAGCTTAAATAGCAACATATCACAAAATGGATTATTAGAAGGAAATATTACTACCCTGCTCTATTGGCATCGCAATCTCGATCCCGATAAGATACCCATGCATAAAATAGTCTTTGTACAGCTTACACAGAATGCATACCTTGCGATGGGTTCTTTGAAGTGCTTTGTTGTTCATCCACCCCCATAGAAACTGGTGCTTGGAGACCAAGAGAGAGAAAAACCTCAGGCCATAGCTTCACATAGTATACAATCGAGCAAAGTGCTAGAGACAGTATTGGTGATGCAAGAAGAAAATTCGGCAATTGTTTAACTTGAAAATATCTTAAGAAGCCCACTCCCCTGTCATAAAATAGCAGCAAACATCAGGAATAATCAAATAAAAACATTACAGAAAAGAATTTTTCATAGTATCTAATGGAAAAATGTCAAACTCAACTAAGAAATGTTTCGCTCGAGGGAACATTAAAGAGCACTAGTTGATAATCTGTAAATGTGCACGATCAACCAAGAATGTTTTGTTCAGATATGATCACCAAATTTAGAATGAATAATTAACTTCCTAAAAGTTATAAACGTTCGCAAAATGTCACGAAAAAATGACTTTAAGTCGTTAATTTATAAATTGATGCCTGGGCAAAACAAACTTTATTTTTCAGATTTTTTGGTAAAATATCTCAAATTTCAATTTAAAACTTGATTTAGATAAAAAAATAACATGGGTGCAAATGTGTCCAATGCATCTTTAAGCCCAAAAAAGTTGATGTGAAGGTGCTTTCAAGATTGTGGCTTAAAGCAGCTCATTTTAAAAGAAGCAAAAGTTGAATTTGCAAAAACTTAAAAACAGGGCCCGATCTCTAGTTAATCATCACGAAATATAAAAAGAATAAATAGCAACTAAATGTCATCGTATGCAGTAAAATAAAATAATTTATAAGACAATAAGTTAAACATACCAATAGTGGCTTTGAATATAATTGTAGAGTAAAGGAAGTCTTGCCTTGCACCAAGGCCTCATTTCACCCACAGAATGATCCAAGCAAATATTGAAATACCCATATGCTTGAAAGGAGATAAAGGGAATAAAGATGCAAACAGAACGTAAACCCGCAGCAAGAATGATCTTCAGTGTTACCAGCTGGCAAGCATAAAGATTTAAAGTACTTCTCAAAACTTTTTCGAGAAAAAAAAAAAACTATGAAAAATATGATAGGTCGGTGGTCGAAAGTGAATCTTGAATTTTAAAGGGTAAATTACAACCACCCCTGAGGTATGGTCAATTTACGAAAAAAACCCCTCTTGTTTGGATAATTACATCTACCCCCTCAACTATGATCTTTTCTTACACTTCCACCCTTATGGTGTCAAATTCAACATAATCATATAGATTTCGTGGAATGTGCTCTAGTTTGTACTCATTTTGTGTAAAAATATATGCACCACAATCTGATATATACAAGCCAAAAAACACATATTATGATCGTCTTGCTTCAAAATGTGGAGTTCAAATCAGATAGAACGGGAACAAAAGTGACAATATTCCATATAAATCGAAGATTCCACTAAATTTGAAACCGCAAGGGTGGACGTGTAAGAAGATTTATAGTTGAGGGGGGTTGGTTGTAATTATCCAAAAAAGAGGGGGGTTTTCGTAATTTGACCATACCTCAGGCGGTGGTTATAATTTACCCGGTTTTAAATGCTTCTCAGTCAAATATAGTTAAAGCAACAAAGGTGGGAAATCAAAATTTATCGAACATGCCATTAATGAAAGGATAATACTCACATAAGCGCGTTTTTTGGAGAAAAAAGCTTCGTAAACTTGTAGCATTGCGTGGAAGCAAATATAGCCCGCGTTAAGCACCCCATTTGAACGCGCACAGCTAGAGAGTGCAAACCAGAAGGTTGTGTAATTATAGGCGCCGTTCATGAAATGATACAATCCTCCAAACGAGAAGAACGCATACAGACTCTCGGAATATCTGCAGTAATGAAGTAGCGTTATGACTATAATTCTTTCACTTTGGGCATGACACGAGAGAAAAAGGCTTCAGAATATACATTGATGAGTAGAATATGGAAGCTGGGTTAAAGCAAAACAAAATTGATGCTCGCAATGCTACCTCGTTGTCCTTCAAAACGACAACTGAAAGCCTGTGAAAAATACGAATAAAAACAAAAGAGGCGTGAGAGAAAAGTAAGTGCAAGATTTATGCAAACTAGAGAACGAAATCGAAACCAGCATACGTGTATAGATTTAGCATATTTAATCACATGAATAAAGTAAAAGCATCTATTCAATAAAAAATCTTAATGCCCCGTAAATGCAGCTTGAAACTCACCGGTATAGATACAGTGCGGCGAAAACAAAGGCAATGTTGTTGAGCACATAGCCAGATAGCCCGAGCACAGCCCTGTATCCAATTACACGTACCAATGGAGCAAAAACTGCAATGATATAACAAAATAAATAATTTCTCCCAACAGTTGTGAAATATGCATTTCTACATAGGTGGAACTTTGTCGGGGAATGAGGGCCGTGGCCCCCCAGATTTTTTTTAATTATTGGTATTGAGTTTGTATTTTCGAATTCTAAATTTTAATTTATTGGCCTCTGTTGGAAATTATTATTTATATTTTTTGAAATGAATTTTCTATCAAAATCAATTCTTTGAAACCTTTTTCTTGCAATCTCAATCCCTAATTCCGATTAAAGCCCATAATTAGAAACAAAAAATATAAAAACTGAAAGTCTTTACTCTTTCTTAAATTACATTTTTTCTTCTATCAAGCCTACCTACATTAATATGTAATTGAAGGAGTTATAATGACAATATTATGATGTACAAGAGGTATTTTAATTTATATTATTTTAGTTAAATAGTTCACCCTCTAAAACCCTCAAACCCCAACCAAAGTTTCCTGGTTCTGCCGCTGCATTTCTTTTATTTTTTTGTGATAAAGAAACCCGCAGCCAACCATATAGGTGCACTGCACTAAGTAAATATACACTTTCGTATAATAGCTTGCAAACCATACTAGAGGAGACGTAAACCACACTAGGCTAACCATGTGTGACAAGTTCCACCTAGCGACCGTTGGCATTTCTATGTATATAAGTAGTCGCCACAGTAAAAGTAAACAAACACTAAGCAAGGTAGTTTTCCTCTTTCTAGTTCGGGACCTTTACAAAATAAGTAAACTAAAATTTGATCTGTTCATTTCTTTCTCAATGTATTAAATTACATTCTCATTTTTCACTTTCAGTAGATATTCCAAAACGGACAGTAAAAAAAAATTGGGAGTAATTTAAAAAAAAAAAAAACCTGTTTTGGAGAGAAGGGAGGCGCAAAGGGGAAGCAAGGGCAAGAAAGCGTAGGTCTGCTCGTACTCGTACCCGCACTCTGCCACGCGTGTGAAGTAAACGCCATCCCAAACAATGCTCCTCTCAATGGCAGATCCCACGCGCGGGAAGAGTGCCGCCGGCGGAGGATTTGAGGAATTTGATGATGAGAGGCATTGGGGGTTTATTGAAGCGGATGTGTCGTATGGGCTGAGAAGGGATCGCCAGATGATAATTAGGGTTAGTATCAGAAGTCGGGAGGTGACTGCGTAGCGGAGGAGGAGGCGCGTGTGCGGACACAGGCGGCGGTTAGGGATTGCCTTGGGGACAGATTTTAGAGTCATTGGGGGAAAACAATTAGTACAAGGGTTACAACTGATTTCTAATTTAAGCACAACTTAGATCAATTATAGCATATCCAAGAGATGTTCTAAATTTTACAAATTTTATCAATAAACAGTGTTTTTGGACACCATTTTTCGTTACTCACTTCAACAGTAAAACAAATATTCTTTTTTTTTTTTCTTTTTTTTTTTAAGAAATCACCCAACTTTTAATAAATTACATTTCTCACACAACCCACTCCAACAGTATTATATATAGGGGTAATGGCAAATATGCCCAATGACAAGGGCACTTAATTAAAAGAGGGACATCCAATTTTTTTGTCTTTTAAATAAGGGGTAATGGCAAATAGGCCCATGACAAGGGCACTTAATTAAAAGAGGAACATCCAACTTTTTTGTCTTTCAAATAAATCCAACTCATTCAAACTTATTTGCAAATAAGGAAAATCCTTTTATATATACCAAAATTACTCTCAATTCATTGAAACCCAATTCAACTCCAATTTCATGATTTACACCCCAATTTAGCCCAATTTCATCAATTAACCAATTTTAACCATAATTTCAATTTTGACCCCAATTTTGACCCGCCACCACCGGAGACCGCTGGTCGCCGCCGTTGACCGGCGTTGACTTTTTCTTTTTTGAATTTTTTTTTTTAATTTTGTTTTTTCTTAAAAAAAAATTAATTAATATTACTGTCTTGGCTGCTAAATTACTGTCTCCGGCAGTTATTTAACTGTCGGAGACAGTAATTTAACTGTTAACTGACTCTTTTGTTTTTTTTTTCTTCAAAAATATTTTAATTAATATTACTGTATTCGTTGCTAAATTATTGTCTCCAGCAGTTATTTAACTGTCGGAGACAGTAATTTAACTGTTCATTGACTTTTTTATTCTTAAAAAAAATATTTTTAATTAATATTACTGTGTTCGTTGCTAAGTTACTGTCTCCGGCAATTATTTAACTGTCCGAGACAGTAATTTAACTGTTAATTGACTTTTTTTTTCCTTAAAAAAATTATTTTAATTAATATTACTGTCTTGGATGTTAAATTACTGTCTCCAACAGTAATTTAACTGTCTTAGACAATAATATTAATAATATTACTGTTCGGAAAAATAATATTCATAATATTACTGTCCCAAACAATAATATTACTGTCTGAGACAGTAATTTAGTAGCCAAGACAGTAATATTAATTAAAATATTTTTTTTCTAAGAAAAACAATTCAAAAAAAAAAAGTCAACGCCGGAGACCGGCGGTCAACGGTGGTTGACCGGCCGGAAAAAAATTTCAGGAAAAAAAAAAGTTTAAAAAAAAAAAAAAAAAAATATCAACGCCGGAGACCGGCGGTCAACGCAGGAATCTGGCCGGAAAAAAAAATTCAGAAAAAAAATTATTTTCTGAAAAAAAAAAGTTTTGGGGGTTAATGTGATATATTTGTTTAAATTCGGGGTCAATGTGTAATATTAAGGAAGTTAGAGTATAATGGGTGGAATTGGTAAGAATTATATTATTGAGGGTATTTTAGACTAAAGACATGGGGATGGGCTTAATTGAGAGACTGTTTTTTTTGTGGACTAAAATACATTTAAGTCCCATGTGATGGGCCTTTTTGCCATTTGCCCATATATATATATATATATATATATATATATATATATATATATATATATATATATATATATATATATATATATACCTCTGGACTTAATTAAATCACCTGTTACAACTCTTAATCAGATCATAAACTCTAATATTTTTGTTTTTTGTGAATGCTTGAATTCATTTCGATTTCTTACAGTGTAATTGTAGATTACATATATATATTTGTTCACTTTGATAGTAGACATCCCTGCAACACATAGAGAAAGAACTAGTTTTATGTAAATTACTTAACACTGGATTAAGTAAAAACTGAATTTCCGAAAAAGCAAACGGATTGAATGTTAAGTATATGTAGCTAATAGCCTAATATCAAATTTTGACAAAGGACTGTGTACTTTTGAAATTTGAGTAGCTTGTAACTGTAATTATGTTTAACTCCAGGGGTCGTAGATGTAATCCACATTATTGTTATTCAATTCTTTTTAAGTAAAAAAGATATAAGAAAAAAAAAAAAAAAAAAAAAAAAAAAGGAAAGAAAAGGATTCCTTTGAAAATACTGATAGAATTGGTTATACTTGCACGTATACAATAATGTAATAATCTTATTTTTAATATTGGTATCATATGTAGGTATTGTGAAATATTTTTAATTTATTGGTTGAAAACAACGATTATATTGCATTATTTATAAAATTGTTATAGATACGCACACTTTAAACTATGGGGTCTTAAGATATAACTCCCTGGTGACAAACCTTATTAGAATTAAATGACAAGTCTAATTAAAATTTGATTTACATCCTTTATTAAATTCATTCCAAAAATGCCCCTCCACTCACAAATTCGAAATTACACCAAATTGTAAATATACTATGATGAACTATGGTATTATTAACATTTTCAAGTTTGCATCTCGCATTTTTTTTAATTTTTACGTGAAACACGTTTTTTTTTTCTTTTTCCGTATTTTATCATTATATAACAATCTATTTTTTTCCCATTCTTTTCTACATAAATTGAAAATTATGATTTTTTTTTAATTTTTTCGGTCGTAGTAGACATCTTCAGAAACCCATAGGAAACCGTAGTAATCCGTAGTCACCCATAGACATCTTGAAAGCCTAACTCCTCCTACAAACCCTAGCACCCATAGACACCCATAGACATCCAAATCGATTTTTTTTAAATTTTCCCCACCAAACCCACCACCATCCGCTCTGTTGGGTTTCGGACACGCATACGCAGCGGAAAACAAAAATTTTATGCGAATTAAACGACTTTAAATCACATATGTACATGCCCGACAAATTAAATCAATTAATTGCGTACCTTTGCGCTTCCAGCGAAATTAAAAACAACATACATGCTAATAAATTTAACCGAATTTAAATCAATTAACATGCTCGCGTTTAAACCAAATAACATGCTTGTAATGATTTAAAACGATTACACATAATCACATAAAATCATACGAAACAAACATGAAATCATAGTCTAAACCTAATCGAAAACGAAACTAGGGTTTCGTAGATTTACCTCTTGACGCGTGAGGTAGGAGCGTTCAATACGTCGAGATTGCTACGGAAACCAATCCGTAGAATCGGGGCAGCAGCAGTGCAACGGCAGCAGCGGCGCGTGAGGTCACGGCGGCGCGTGGGGTATACGCGCGGCTTCGGGGCGGCGCGTGGGGCAGCGTGCAGCTTCGGCTCGTGCGTTGCTCCTCGATTCTTCGATCTACGATCTTCCTCCTCTTGGATTTCACCTCGTATACTTCGATCTACTAAAACGTGGCACTAGACACGAAGTAGTTAGAATAAAACGGAAGAAAAAGAGAAGGAAAAACAATACCGAAACAATCGGCCAAGGAATGGCCGATTCCGGTGAAGCTCCGGCGACGGCGGCGCGGTGGCCGAGGAGAGAGGGCCGAGAGAGAGTGTGTGTGAGCGGCTAGGGTTTGATTAGGTCTTGTGTGTTTTTGCAAGGCCTATAAATCAAGTATTTATAGTCCCTTGCATAAAACCCTAACGGGCTTAAGTTGGACCGGGCCCAACAGCTTAAGTCCGTTAGTATCTTTACTTGCTCGTCTCTCTTAATTCAATGACCGAAAAATTGCAACGATTACATTTTCGGATTCATTATAACTTCCTCGTCATTACGAGTGCCATCTCTCATTTTCCAACTTTCCAAAAGTGGAAACCCTAGTTCAGTGCACTTTCTAAATTTGGAAACTTCCCGATTTAGAAAGTTCACTAACACGTTCGCCTATTCTTTTCCTTTTCTTATTCTCATTCATAATTCCAAATTATGAATGTTGGACTCAATCATATTGACTTCCATTCATGCAAAGATAAACTATTTTATCTCTGACCGTTTATTCAAAGATCTCATGTGCACGAGCAGTGTGACCCTCGATGGTTCAGGTGTAAGCTAGCCGTGGGCCCACAACCCTTTGTGGTCAAAACTCGTCCCCTTCGAGTTACGATTAAGATGAAGCTCGTTTCACCTTAATCACCCAACGAATCAAGATTGGCGTCTAGCAACTACGCGTCATGATTCCCTAGATACAAATGAAGTGCCTGCAAGAACCTTCAGATATAGTTAACGTACAGTACGGTCCCTTCGATTCATATGTCCCGATCGAACTAGAGGCATTGGTTCATCGAGACCTCTTTATATGTTCGATGACGGTGCGATCGTTCTAAGTGTTGTAATCCTTACGTGCATGACCTAGAGAATCGAATTCTCTAATCATCACTTAGTCAGCTCTGGCCAGAGACTTAGATTGATTACAAACTTTCAGAACACACAGGACATCCAAGACTATTCTAGCGATCGAATCCCCGACTACAATGCACAGACCTCCCACTAGATTTCGGACTGCACGAACACTGGCCCTTGGGATGGTCCTCGGTGGAACTCAGGGACAGGTCACGATACAGCTGGTCCTCTAGTGAAGTCACGGTGATGTCTAGGTCATAAGGACTAATGGTGTACAACTATACCATAGATATCTCTACTCGATTACTGGGAACCACTTAGAGATGTCTAGGGTGAGGGAGTTCAGTGAACTCGTCAACTTACGAGCACCCACTTATGCATGCCGATATCACAATACCGTTTACTGATGAGATGCAGTACACATACACTAAGTGCTAGTCTTAATGGGAAAGGCCGATATCCTCATTAGTGGCGTAACCCTTCGACTAGGAACATGTTTAACAGTTATAATACTTAAGTAAATATCTCACGATCCTAACGATCAATTACTAGTACTTGTAATAACTGTAAGGACTATATCTATGCTTGTGACAAAGGGACAAAGATATAGAATGCCAATGAGTTTTATCATTAATACGAATAAAGGTTCGTTTATTACAATAATAAATACGAAAGACCACAGCCACATGTTGGCTTGTTGGTCACCT